ACACACACACACACACACACACATACATACATACGGTAGTCCATTTTTTTCTGCATGTACCTTATTTCCATTCTCTTTTGTGAATTTGAATCTTTGATTCTTTCCCTTTTCTGTTATTTTGTCCCAAATTGTCCCTATGTATGCTGAATGTTCATTTCTATCTTGTGACAGCAATTCTCTTCTTATTGTGCAAGCTTATAACACCCTGTTGCACTACTCTGCTTCTGTCTGTCTGCTAGTTGTCTAACTCACAGTTACGTATTTTTTTGCCATTTTTTTTCAGGTGAGTTGACCCTTTTCAGTATTTCCTGTAATGCAGGCCTCATAGCGGAGAATTCCTTCAAGTTTTATATGTCTAGGTCTTTATTCCTCTTTTATATCTAAAGGAGAGCTTTGTTGGATACATTATTCTTGGCTGGTAGTTCTTTTCATTTAGTAGTTTAAATATTTGGTTCCACTTCTTTCTTGCTTGTACGGTTTGTGCTGAGAAGTCCAAAGAGAGTCTAATGGGTTTTCCTTTATAGATTACCATCTCCTTTTCCCTCACTGCCTTGAAATTTCTTTGTCATTAATTTTTGATAATTTTAATGTAATATGTCTTAGAGGTCTTTTCAGGTTGAGATAATTGAGTGTTCTGTTAGCTTCTTGGATACAAAGCTCCAGTTCATTTCTTAGACTTGGGGAATTCTCTTCAAATATTTCTCTAAAAATCCTTTCTAATCCCTGCTCCTATTCCTTCCCTTCGAGAATGCCCATTATTCTTATGTTTCCTTTCTTGATGGTATCGGCTAGTTCTTGTATTTTCCTTTCATTATTTTCCATTCTTCAGTCTCTCTCTTCTTCCTTCTGTATTATTTCTAGATTTCTGTCTTTGATATCATCGATCCTTTCCTCTATTTGGTTAGTTCTATTTCATTAGCTTGCTATTTCATTCTTCATCTCTTTTAGTGTGTTCTTCATCTTCAGAAGTTCTATTTGATTCTTTTTATAGACTTTCAATCTCCTTGTTAAAGAACTCATTCTGCTCATCTAGTTGCTTTTTCAATTCCTGAAATTGTTGATATGAATTATTTTGAATCTCACTGATTTTTTTTCTGAAGTACAATCCTGAGTTCTCTGTCATTTAAGTCACATATCTCTATGTCTTTAAGCTTATTTTCTGGAGATTTTTCTCTTTTCTGAGTTGCCTTGTCACATTGGTTGCTCATGGTGCTGATGGGCTATTTCTCTGCCTCGGCATTGATGGGAGTGTATTCTGCTTTTCTTTTCTTTTTCAGAAAGATTTATTATATAGAGGTCTCTCTTTAGCCTGTTACTTAGAAGGTGTTTTTCTTTTGATTTTCAGTAGGTGGTACCAGGCCTCTTGGATCCCTGCTTTGAGACTTAATAATGCCTCTTTTTTTTTCTTATAAATATTCAATCATGACTGCTATCCTCAGTCTCAGTCCCTGTTAGTGTTAGCGACAGTTTTGGTAGCATTTGCTCAAATTCCCCTGGGCCTCCACGGTGTTCAGTCTTGGAGAATATGGAGGGAGAGTTGTTCTCTGGGTTGGCAGGTGGGGTTTGCTGCTATATCTGTGTCTCAGCCTAGCGTTCCTCAACCAGACTGCTAAGAACCATCTGTTGCTGCCCTGAAGTTAGTCTTTGTATCACCTTCTGCCCGGATCACTGGGCTCCACTGTGTGGAGCTCATAGATCCTTCTGTCAGGGCTATTCAGGGAACTAATAGCAACTTCGCTCCTCCTCCACTGCCTGCAGGGAGACCTCTGCTGTGAGAGGCAGCTTCTTTGTTCCTCCTGGATTCCTGCAGTTCCGACCTCTGGAAACTCATGCACAGATCACTTGTTCAGATGTGCTTGTGTGCAGGCTGGGTGTTAATTGTTGAGTTTTAAATGTTCAGCTTATTGTTATTGCAAGGGGAGAGATCTGAGACATCTCTCACTCCGCAATGCTTCTGACATCACTCCTGTCCATTGTCTTTTGAGTTTCGTTTTGTTTTACATGATATAAATTTTAGAGACATCGTAATAACAGCTCGTGCTTAAACAATCTCTGTGACTGATGCTGTGTAAGCCACACAGAAAGTCTACCTGAGCACCTGATACTAACTAAATGTTATAAAATTTAACCCATAGAGTCATCTCAGCCATTTGGCCCATTTTGCTGCTGAAGCTCTAAGACTCAACACACCGTCTTAGGGTCCTTGGCACTTGGGTTCTTAGACAATAGGATTGCTTTAGATAATTCATTAGCTGAACAAGGAAGTGTTTGTGCTGTGGCCAGTTCATCATGATTTGCGTACCAGGGGACATAATTATGAAAGTTGCTTTTTATTCTTTGTCTAAATTGAACACTGGAATGCCCCCTTTAAGGCTCAGAAACCATCATGGAAGAGGAGGGCATGTGAGATTGTAAGAGCTGGATAAGAGGGTCACACAAATCTGACTCCATCTTAAAAGCTAAACCTCCCTATTAATTGAACCTGGACCAAGTTGCTCTATTTCCCTCAAGACTGAGGAACAAACAACAACAACAACAAAAGAGTGGGGCTGTAACAGACTGAAATGTTAGGTCTCTCTGACTCCATCTTGTTCAAGTTGCTTTGTTCTCATGGCATTCAGGCTAATAGCTTCTGCTTAGTTTCTCATAGCCATACTACTCATTAGATAAGATTGCTGCTTGACTTTTACAAAACAGCTATTCCTATTTCCTCTTGCCTAGACACAAAAGAAGCCTGAACCCAATACTTTGATAAGATAGATGTGAGGAACAATTAAGTCTCTCATCTTCTTGGTTGGTGCCTTCTAGATCAATAAACCTTTCCTAACTGCAACCTCTGAAGGTTTGACTTTCGGTCGAAGCATCAGGAACATGGACCTTGGACCGGTAACAGCCACAGTTCTCCATTTTGTTTAAAATCAGTTGATAATCACTATTTCCTGGGGTGTGCTCATTCGATCCTCTTCCCAATCCAAAGTTCCATGATATTTGTTGGTTACCAGCAGAGTTGGACTGGGTCCAACTTAAGAACTAGACTGGATCCAGGATCGAACTGGATCCAATTTGAGCTGGACTGTGTCCAATAGACTGCATGTGAATATTAAGAAATGAGATCACTTATATCCAAAAACTTGAGCATTCCACCTTCCAGCATACCTGCTTCTTTTATATTCAAGATCTATAGTTCTAGAAGCTAACGACATTTGCAAAGGAAGCAAAACTTTTCTGGAGACAGCCTAGAATTACTTGGCCATCATTGTTGTAAGATTCTCAAACGGGGAGACGGGACACCAAGACTATAAGCAGGAAACAGTGTTTATTGATGTCAGCACCAGCTCAGTGGATTCTTATCCAAAGGCTGAGCCCCCATTGTCACATGGCGGGCAGTTTTATACCATCTTGTACTTTTGCATTCCTACACTGCTATAGATATTCCATATAAAGAAAGAGAACATAAGGAGAACACTGATTGGCTGCCAAACTATAAGTAAACCGGCTTACTCGTTTAAGTGGGTTTTTGGACTGCCGTGTCAGCCAGAGAGTCCTGGGATTGGGGTTGCAGTCAGGAACTAACTCATTTGAGCAGGAAATGGTCAGGCAGGGTCAGGCTGCCACATGCCCCCCCTTTGATGCTCTATGATGACCCAGGACTGGGTCAGAGAGCATCATATCCTTCTAACTTTTGGGTTAGAGGCTGGTACCTCCATAGCATGAGGAGTTTTGCTGCAGTTTTTCTTTCTACTATAGCCTCCATGAGGGAGGTGGTTGACCAGATCACAAGAGCAGTAGGCATGGGAGGAGGGGATAGGTTCTGAGGAGGAGGAGTACTATCACAACTAAGGTCTTAAAGCCACCAAAAGTGGAGACCCAGCCTCCAAAGAGGTTACTAGGGTCCCATCCTGATGAGACATTGTCCTCAGGCTTCTGCTGTGCATAGATTGGTCAGCTTCCGGTGTGACCAAAGCAGGGCTGAGGTCTTACCCTTGGTCTGTCGGCACAGTCAGTGTTTTCTTCCAGAGGGTTGCCTTGAGGGGCTCAGAAGAGTCTGGAACACATTGCCACTCTGCAGCTGTAGGTTTAAGTTTGCTGTGATGTATCCAGGGTGTTATTTTAGCAAACTTAACTGCAGTGGGGGTAGACAAAAATGGCAGTAAAGGGGCCCCTCTACAGAGGTTTTAGGGGCTGAATGTTCCACTCCTTCACCCAGACAGAGTCTCCTGGCTTAAAAAAAAATGAACTTCAGTGGTTAAACTGACAGGGAGCCTTTCCCTAACCCATTGGCTGAGAGTCTGGAAGGTGGTCCCTAGGGCCTGAGGCTGTTGTCTCAGAGTCAATTCACCTATTGACTCTTAGTCCTTTGATGAGTGGTGGTGGCTGCCCATACAGGATTTCATAGAGGGAGAACCCAGTGTTCTTGGTTGTGGCTGACCTGATTCTTAATAGTGCCATGGGGAGGACTTCATCCCAATGTAGATAGTTTTACCAATTGAGTCTTGACATAGTTTTCCCATCTGAGTCTTAAGGGTCCTTTTTCCTCTTCACAAGTGTGGGGAATGAGTTACTGGTAATCCAGCAGAAACCTTTTCTTTGTTCTGCAGATATCTTCCTGGCCTGGCTGCAGGGCTGATCAGCACATTCCAGTCGCTGAATGTGGCTTGATTAACACTTTATTCTCTTGCCTCCTCCCTACCTTATTCCCTCTCAGAGATTTTGTTCCCTTAATCTTAAAGGGATGTTGAGGGAGGAAGGTCTGTCTTCTATAACTTCTTCAAAGCTGAGATAGGGCTGTAGTCCCTGCCTACTGGGAATACAAATCTCGGAAAGCCTATTCTAAGGGCCCGGGAGGCAGACAACGTGAGGTCATTCCAGCATGTAGAAGTGGTAGGAAGCCTTGCAACCTAGAAAATATAAACTTAGCAAAAATATAGAAAAGACAAGTCAAAATTAATAGTAGAGGTAATTGATAATGAAGCTACTTTTTCATGGCAGTTTGTTAATTCAAGGTAAAGATATCTAGTGAAAGGAAATTGAATCATTTTGAAGAGAGTCATGGCTTAGATACCAGGCTAAAAGAATAATTATTTACAAAAGTTCCCTGATTCCCTGGGACATATGGACTTATCTAGTCCTGTGGACTTACCTAGTCATGTGGACTTATCTAGTTCCCAGAACAAGAACTTAAGATCTTCCGCGGGTTCGCAGGACTAGGTCTAGGTCGCACTTGCTGGTTTATTTTATGGAGGAACCTGTGAGGACTCATAAAAAAAAAAACTGATTTAATTTGAGATAAATGTACCCAGCTGTTGATTCCTTGTAATTTGACAGCAGTTGGGAACTTAACAAAACTTGGTAGGGCCCTTTCTGTTTGCCTTGAGGGCTGACTTTCAATAGATCGCAGAGAGGGAGCTGCTGTGCTTGTAGGAAACTGACACAGAAGCGAATCATCTATGAATGGTCTTCGGTTCCTCACAAATGTGCATTATGTGATGAGCAAGGGGGCTGAGTTCAAGTTTCTTGAGACAAGTCACTCTCTTCACTGGACCCTGGTTCTTATGTGTGGCAGAGAATTTCAATGCTAGTCCTGGTCTCACAATGGGAAAAGAAAATTACATTAGGCTACTTATTCCTGTCACTGTGCAATTAGCATTGCAGAGAGGCCCATGGGATGGGTCAGGACAGAGTAGGTAGCTCTAGTATCTAGTAAAAGACTGTTGTGATTGTGGTATATTTCTCTAGGATTGGAGCTTGCAAGCGCTTGGGCCTCTGTTGTTGGAGGAGAGAGCAGCCCCTTCATGAGAGGCTTGCTATGTGGGGCGAGGGCTTATAAGGTCCACCTCTCCCCGACTTAACAGGATTAGATGGACACTTGCCCACCCAGTGCCCTTCCTTCTACAGTTTGCGCATTGATTATGCCCCAGTCCTGACAACGCCAATTGTGGCAACCAAGATCAAGGCCCTCCAGGACTGAAAGGTTTTTATTGCCTAGGGTCACCTCAAGATGGTCCTTGTATTATGGCAGCTAAAATTTGCGCCTTTTTGTACTCTGCTTCCTTCTCTGCCCTGTCCCATTTATTGGACACCTTAAAGACCTCTGGCACCAAGGCAGCCTGCAGGGTTTGGGGTCTAGGCTCCAACTTTTGGAGCTTCCTTTGGCTATCTGGCACAGCCTGAGTTATGAAATGTATAGCCAAGAGTGTCTGGCCCTCAGACTTTGGGCCAATGTTAGTATATTCTCTAAAAGGCTCAGAAAACTGGTAAAAGCAACATAAAACACAGGCAATTATTTTGATGAAGCACGGAATCCTTGTTTTCTACTCAGAAAACTTGTCCATAACATCAGTAGCAGACCGATACAGTAGTCTAAGGAACGTTAAAACACCACTCAATTTTGCATTAGCTTACTTTTGACATTTAAATTTCCAAACTTCTTTAGCTTAATCACATAAAATTTCCTCTCAGGATTCCTCTTCACAAACCTTCTGCAACCT